TGCTTGCTAGCCAATTACCGGACGAGCCGCCTGAGGGTGAACGGGGTGCAGTCATGGTGAAGTTTCGTTTGCCCGACAGCGAACAGGTTTGCATAATTTTTTTTGAAACTTTCCTCGTATAATGGTGAAGATTCCTTGCTTACATCGCTCCATGTAGTAGCTTTTTATCCAAAGCAAGTTTTTATTTGAAGTTTTTCCAAATAGATAAAGTGAATGGGACATTTCCTAGAGAATTTACTGTACATTTTTGGAGCAGGCATACCGTAAAATTGCTTCCAAGTGAAGTATGTGAAAAGTGTGGGATATCCGAATTTTGTAGCTTTCATCGATAATCAGCGGGGAAATGGAACATATAACATATTGCGCGATCTCAAATCTACTTTTTTTCTTGTAGAACTACCAAAAATCACATTTTTTGTTTCCAATGTTTAGGTTGTGCGCCGTTTCCGATCATCTGAGAAGCTTGCTGTTTTGATAAAATTCCTCGGAGCAAAAGGCTATTCAGCGAGTGATTACCGATTCTTCAACTCTGATTTCCCCAAAAAGGATGTGAGTTTGAACCTATCGTAGTCGTTGCACTTTTGAAGTATATGGTGCAGGTAACAACATTCGACGAGTCGAAAACGTTCAAGGAATTGCACTGGCCAGTACGAGAGCAAATATTTGTAGAAGAACGCTGATCTTTCCCCTTCATTAGCGGTTATCACATTGTTTTTTCTCTTTTTTATGCGTGACATCACTCTTAATTTCCTTCTTAAACTCTAACGCATGCTATGCATTCGTTTGGTCTTGTACCCAATAGCACTCGTGCGTCCACTACCATTGCGTGGGTCTAGAATATGGGTATGCGGCGGTTGCCGCCAGCTATACTGAACGACTTGAGTTTTGTTCCTACCTTATTGTCCTTCTACTAGGGACTAGTGCCCATAATATCACATTATTAGCGCTGAATAAACACGTGGGACTTGCGCTTTCCATTATCCCTTGCCTCATGGCTTAACACACATTGGCGAAGTAATTGTGTACGGTGTTCTGTTCCGGTTTGAGATCGTCGCACTCCGTCAACTTTGTTAA